CGCTTTCCTAGTCCAAACCGGCGGCGATGCACTTCCGCTACCGCGGTTGTCCGCGTGCCGTCGTAGATGATTGAGGGCGGCTGTTGACGAGACCGCGCTGGAGGAGCTCCAGTTCCAAGATGTCCTCCACCTCACAGGCGGGACCTCGCGCCATCAGCCTTTCGGCTGTTTTCCAAGAGGAACATCGGAAGGGTACACGGTTTGCGTCCGACGAGCAAGTTACCGATGCAGTGCGCCGTTGGTGTCGTCAACAGCCGCCCTCAATCATCTACGACGGCATGCGGAGGTCAGTGCACCGCTAGCGGAACTGCATCGTCGCCAGTGGACTATATTGAAGAGTCACGTGCTCCTGGGGAAGAGGACATTCTAAACTTCCATTCACATGTAACATCCTTCAATTCCATCACTGAATAAAAAAAAGTTACAGCCTAGCTTATTGATCACCCCTCAAACATTACATGTGATTGCTTGTGTATTGCGTGTGTATTAGTCGTGTATTTCTTTTTTTTTTTTTCAGGCTGAAGCTTATGTGCTTGTTTTCAAAGTCATGCCCTCAAGGTCATGCCCTCATGGTCATTCCTTCAAGGTCGCGTAAAGCCCGTGACTGAAGTGCAAGGTCGCGTATTCAAGGTCACGTAAGCGCCAGTTACGCAAGCTACGTTCGCGTAAGCATCGAGCTGAGGGTGACGTGACCTGACGTCCTAGAGGTCGTCCTAGACACCGTTCTTGAGGTCGTCCTAGAGGTCGTTCTAGACGTCGTCCTTGACGTCGTCTTCGATGTGCGCACGGCATATTGCCACTGCCGCCGCCGAGCGAGCGCGTGCTTGGCCGAGTGGTTACAGTGCTTGGCTTTCGTGTGGAGGCCCCGGGTTCGATTCCTAGGAGCTGCGCGTCTCTTATTTATTCTTTCCATTTAGCGTTCTCGTAACTTGGAGAACCTTGTCGTCTGTTCGAGGTCAGAATGTTCTACGTGCCCAATCTTGTACGCCCGTAGTTCCAGAAGCCCACAGGTGTACAAAAGGGGCTCCACGTGGCGAGTCAGTCTCGCCCCAGCGTTCGATCCCGCTGTTTCGCCGCCATCGACACGAACTTCCTTTTATTTTGTTTTGGGCACAAGTACGCCCCATTAAACGTTTAGTTTTGTCGTTGTCGTCTTTGTCGCCTCATCAATTATCATTCGTGACAATATTACCGCCATTTCAGCGCCGTACTGTAAAGCTACCGCATTTCATCGTGTTTCGTCGAATGAACGTGCCTGTAATTTATTTTGTTTGTTCACCACTTTTGTTTTTCTCTCAGCCCCCCCCCCCCCCCCCCCCCCCCCTCTTTCAATGCACGTGGTGACTAAAGTTATATAAACATATGCCCCAAACCTTCGCAAGTGTGCTTCCCCACACGCACTGTATTTGGCGACCCCTTCTCCGGCAATGGAGAGGCTCGGCCATTTAGTTCCTCTTTGCAAGCGGTATTCGTACGAAGCCCGGACTCGCGTCGCGGAGTGTCCCGACGTCTCCGACAATATGAAAGACCTCGGTGCAAAGCACACGTTGGCCTAATTTATTCCCTTACTCCGAGCCATGGGGCAAAAGCATGTCCTGCCGTGTGCGACTGCATCGTCAAAAAAAATTGGGTTGTGTGTGTGTTTATACAGCCTAGAACTTGGTCTGCCTCACAGGGGCGACGAGTCTCCCAGCTGTAGATGAGATATATAGCCAGTGCGGTACAACCGCTAGCCTGGGGTCTTTAACGTGCATCACGCAGTAGTGATACACGACCGCACGCCGGTACGATACTCATCCAGATCGAAACGGGCAGGGGTGGGGCTCGAACCCAGGATCCCTGGGTTCTGCAGCGCGAGCTTTCGCTCCACGTGCTCCGAGCTGGTGTGCGCTAGACCACTCGGCCACCGATCCCCCCCTCGTCGAAACTGTCCAGCGTACTCCAAGGGAACGCTACTGCGCGTATTCCCATGTGCGCCGCACGATCGAGTCGATCTTCGGGGGACAGCATGTTTGACTAGGCCGGCGGTTCGGCACGCCGACGGAGGAGCGTCAGCTGGGGCTCCACCCTTCTCAAACGTGGCCGACGGGGAATCGTTGATTGCGTCGGCGACACGCGCGTGCGGGCCCTGCCGACGCCTTCCGCGATGCGCGGCCAAACCGGCGCGCATTGCTTTGTTCCACGCGTGTGGGCATCGAGGACGTCGACGCCCACGCACGAGGACCCGGACGGCGACGGCCGCTCAGGGTTTGCTCGGAAAGGCGCGGGACCGCTTTGTCGCCGGCGGTCCCTTCTCCTAGGACCTCATTCAATCTCGCATATGTGCCACCACAAAGTTTTTCTCCCCCTTGTTCACAGTCAACATTTCTACTGCCATTACCTCCTTCATCCCCGTGCCTGGGAAGGCTGCCACCTTTACTCTCCCCCGACCTTGCTGGCGATCCCCGCTGTGCATTAAAACAGATCCGCCAGCTTAGATGTCGTGCACAAGCCTCGTGTGCCTAATCCTTTTCGTGGGGAAGAGTTTTTTTCTTGTTTCCGTGGGCCAATTTGTTTTAAACCAAGCCACACAGCCTACTCAAATGTTAACACGATATGACCCTCGCAAGTGACAAAAAGATGGGCAGAAAGACACTTTTGATCGAGTGGAAGGAAGGAACTTCGATGCAACAACAACCGCGCATGTGTCAGCACCTGTTGAGCCTATCTGTGTAAATTGAATGCTGTTTCATTAGTTTTGTCATTTAATAGTTTTCGTTTCTACGGTCTCGGCTGTCATTTATCGCAACACTGTTTTTTTTTTTTGTGAGGCGAGCGGCATGGACCTGTACCGCAGAGACGCTTGTCTGACTGTGTGAGGCGTTCGCGCAGTTTGGGGTATGACAACTCCGTGGTCCGCCTTAAACGCGAACCAGATTTGCTCATCCCGAAGATTTGTAACTGGAAGTGCTGGAAATGCTACGAATTTACCCAAATATCGTGGTCAGGTGGGTCGGCAAGACTTGCAAACGCGTTGTTTTCGAGTGACCCAACCACGAACCCAGATGTTCCGATAGTCGGCAACACATATTTGGATAAACGTGGGTTCTTTATTGTTTTGTTTCCATTTTGACGGTGTAAACATAAGAACTGACCAGTACAAAGCGACGACCCTTGAAGGGATGCTGAACCAAAATCTGGATTCCACAAAACATGCGGCAAAAGCATGCAACGGGATGCTACAAACACCAAAACATCACTCATACAGCGATATCTCGAACGGATGACCGTATTTTTCAAAAAAAGGAGGCGCACTTGACAGATATGCTGACGTCTTGTTTCTCCGAGAACAGGGAACGGCCTCGCATCTTCTCCGCCTTGAGGGAGCGAAGCGAAGGGAGGAGGAAACAAGATATCTTGACGTCACGCGCCTCGTCGACCTCGTTCAATCTCGTCCTCTTTTTCCAAAAATACGGCCGTCCATTCGAGATATCGTCTTACGAGTAGTGTTGTAGGGATTGTAGCGTCCGGCGTACATCTGCTGCATTTTTTTAAAATCCAAATTTCGGTTCACCATCCCTGTAAAAAGCCCCTGAAAAGAAAAAAAAAAAATATTTCTAACAGTCCTGTTTGGACACGCGTGTCGAGAAATCAATTTTACGCGAAAAAAAAGAAAAAGAAAGTTTTTTCAGAGCAATATTGTCGGCGAGAGACGTATTTGAAATTCTGCGCTCAAAGTCCATGGCGTCATAGAATGGCCATACACTCTTTCCACCTCAACGAGATGCCGATCCACCTCTCCTCCACGCGCCCCGAAATGCCGAGAGAAAACAAATGGAAAGGAGGGAACTACCGACTAAATCTCGTCTCGCGCCGTCAATATTGCTTTATTTTTATTTTTTTTCGCGTAAAATTAATTTTTTTTTTGACACGTGTGTCCCCTCCAAGCTAAAAAAAAAAGTGTTTTTTTTTTTTTTGTTTTTAGTTTTTTGTTTTTAAAAGGCTTTAGAGCCATACTTATGCCAAAGGATTGACCACACTCCGAGATAAACGCTTACGCAGCCGTTGTGTATAGTGCGATCGTCGTGTTGTACTGTCACTCTCGAACGTCAGTATTTTCAATTTCTTCCTTCATGAGCCCCGAAAAGGCCGCCTCTTAGATTGCACTGAAGGGGGAGGTGGGCTCGTCGCTCTATCGATTTAATTCGCTGATTAAGGACGCAAGTAGATGGCGCAGTCGTCGCATCTGATTCAAATTTTTGCCAAGAGCCGCGCGCCTTTTGCCGCGTCGCTGCATGTGCTGGTGTCATCTGGTATTCGCGACTCCAGTGACCTATAGGGGACGCCACTATCGGGCAAATATGGCGGTCGAGCCCAGGTCATGCCTTGCCATGTGCCAGCTCAACGCACAACGCTGGGGCACCAGCAAGTAAGCATTGGACTCAAACTTGGTTCCCCCGCGTTTGATCTTCCACGTTTCGAACCTGCGGCGATGTACTGGGGTAAGCGAACTTCCACGAGGCTTGACTTTCTTCGAGGAAACGAGGAAAGGACTGCCCACTGTCTTTCCACGGGGCTGATGAACGTTGAGAAACGCAGAATGTCTGGCTCATGCGGTTCCATAGGTCGCGTGCAGAGCAACCTGGGTCATAAGGCGATACTACGGTTACGACACAGTCACCGGTAGAACTGTTCTGTCGCGCAAACCGCCGACAACATGGAAACAGGAAAGCCAGAAGGGACGAGCAGATATCGCGAGGGGACCTGTTCCGGCCAGTTCAGTGTTTTCCCGCTAGGTGCCGTTCGTTTTGCTGGAGTCGCGAATCGATAGCGGTCAGCAGTTATCAGTTGCATGCTGCTGGTGGTCTTTCCCACTCAGCCCACCCTAGTTTGGCTTCTGCACAGATGCTATATTCTGAGATTACGTTAACGATCAAAGTTGCCAGATTCAATTTGGAAAAGGATCTGTCGCGTCTGCTACGTGGGAGGATCTGACTGAGGCTCTTCCCCCCTTCGGACAGGATGGGTCGGCGGAAGCTGAGGAAGACTGCCCAGCTGGCCGCCTGGTCCCTGCTGGGTCTGCTAGCCCTGGTGGCCCTGCTGGGAGCCCCACCCTGGCCCAGCGGGTCGGCCGTGCCGGAAGAGCTGCTCGCCCACCCCTTCTGGAACTACAACCCGGAGCTGGAAGAGCCCAGGGACCCCCGGCAGGGCTGCTCTCTGCCCAGGGTCCACCCGTTCCATCCCGTCGTCTGGCCGCACCTCAAGGCCACCGTCCCGCTCGTCTGCAAGGTAGCGAGTCTGTCTTCTGTCTGAACCAGCTAGAAGACAAGGCGTGCGTGTGACGTCATCGTTAGTGAATCCCCGCCCCAAGCGGCTAACATCTCTCGACGAGATTCCTTAAAGTGCCGGACGCGTCCCTCTCGCTGATCTCTATGCGGTGAGCAAATCGTCTGCCTCTTTTGCAGGAGTTGCGGTGACGTCAGAACAACGCCGAGTTCTGATTGGTTCTGATTGAAAGGATAGTGGGTAGACCTCGATGCTATCGAGGTCTACCCACTATTTTTGTTTTCAGTCAGCCAATAAGAGCTCGGCGTTCTCACATCATCGCAACCCCTGTTCAAGAAGCAGACGACTTGCTCCCCGCGTTGTAGGCCAGATCGCCGATCGAGGCTTGTCTTGCTGGCGTCGTGTGTCATCATTGGTAGCCATCACTTTTGACACCAGCTAATGCGTGGGACTCTATGGGAAAAACGAAAAAAAAAAGTGCAGTTTCCCTCGTTTCTAAGCAGTTGTCGGCACTAAAACTTTTTGACTGCTTTTCGGGAAGCCTATCAAATAGCGTCTGCACAAACTAAAAAACAAAAAAAAACTGACAGCCTTCACAGTTTTACAAATAAACGTTTTGGTGAAGAGTGACTCCGCTGAGCGAAAAACTGTAGTCCAGCTCAGTGAGGCGAGAGTTTATACCTAGAGTTTCCGCGGAGTCGCTGGCGGTTTCGATGTGTTGGGTTTGGCAGACGAGAAGCTCGAAGGCTTTGCTACGCGGAATTCGCTCACTCCCAGAAAGCCGCTAACTGTCAGCATGGAAGTTTTTCGACACTCATCAACTTCTGAGCCTCCGCGAACACGGTTTCTCGTTTGCTGCTCTACAAGAGCAAGCTTGGCAGCTCAGCCATTGGTGCTTGGCACGTCTGATTTTTTTAATGGGCGTTCGATTGCTCGACAAATACCGAATCGATCTCCAGACAGCCTATACACCAACTCATGTTTACAAATAAACCGGAGCGCCCGGAGCGCCCCTAGCGGACGCCACTGGCGCCGCGCATGCGCGATGGGGGTGTGGGCAAGAAGCTCGCCGTCGCCCTTAAACAAACCATTGAAATGCGATGTTATCGGCGTCGGTGTGAGTCCCCGCACTCTTTTTTTCGCGTTGGAATTGTCGATCCTACGTCCTCCTATTGATGTCTGACTATTTGAGCGGCGTCAGCGAAATTACCGGGGCTCGTTACACCGCAAAACTTCGCGTGAATAATCTGATATGCGGCGATTCATTCCGCGTGGATGTCGCAAAATGTACGCTAAAGCCTGATTCACATGTTGAAATTTCGCTCGCAATTTTCAGTAGCGACGTCGCTCGGATTGCAAAAGCGTGAACCGTAGCTGAGATGGTCGACGTCGATACTGAAAATCGCAGGCAGAATCTAATCAAGTGAATCAGGCATAACAAGTCGGTGATGGTGCACTGGTAACCAGTCTTGGGTAAGTTACTTTTAAAAAGTAATTCGTTACAGTTACAGTTACTTTCAGAAAAAAGTAGCGAAGTTACTGTTACAGTTACTGCAACAAAAGAGTAACTCGTTACAGTTACAGTTACTTTTAAAAAGTAACGACGTTACTTTTCAGTTACTTTTCTATAACACAAAAAAAAATATTAGAAAAAACTAAAAAAACGCCTCTCACAACATTTTATTCCATAATATTAAAAAGTATGCTTTTTACTTCATATTGTAACTTAGCAGCAGTTGCTTCTCGAAGTTAGTGTTTGAAAGTTTCCACGCCAGAGAAGTGGCGCAAATCAAAATACGCCCAGTGCGGAGTAGTGGCGCTAATCAGAATACGAGACATGCGCAGTTCCCTCCACGTGTATTGTTGTTTCACGGTTGATTCACCCGATTAAAAAGCGTTTGCACAGAAAAAAGAAAAAAACACAACATAGATAGTGCTTCAAGACACTAAGATGTGAGTGTTCAGTCACAAAGTACAAGCGCGTGCTTAAAGATAACTAAATATTTTTTTCATAAAATATTCGGGTCGTGACTCGCGAGAAAAAACGTATTCACAACTTTGTGCAAGGCCAACTTGACCCTCGAAATGTCGGAATGGACGATTTGGAAAGTGCAATGAATGGCTAAATTGCACTCATGCAGTGATATATTATTCGTAAAACACTGGAAAGTAACGACAAAAGTAACGTCGTTACTTTCATCGTTACTTCAGAAAAAAGTAATAGAACTACCGTTACAAGTTACATTTTTAAAAAGTAACTCGTTACAGTTACAAGTTACCGAAAAAGTAACGAAGTTACAGTAACGCGTTACTAGTAACGCGTTACTACCCAAGACTGCTGGTAACAATGATCAACATCTCCTTGTATCTACTGTTTGCGTTGAGCCTGCTTACCAACCTTCAAACTTAAGTCTTTTGAGGCCTGCAATTACTTCTGATCGCAAGTACCGGGCCCAAGCTTGGTCTACGCGGGCCGGTGTCCTCTAAAAGAGCAGACGACAGTTCAAACGATCAGGCGGCCGTTTGAACTTGAAGACGCACTGAACGTAGTCCGCAGGTGGTCCGTACAACTTGACGGTTTTCCGGTGTTCATGTTGGATAAAAACAAATAAATTTGATGGCCAGAAGTATCCGTGAATTCAACCCAAAGTGCTTCCCGCCCAAGTAATCGTGGTCTGACGGCGTCTGGTTTTCCTTTTTCACGGCACATATCCACGTTCTCGGACAAACTGAGCGCATAAAAACTGACCTTCAAACCTTTCTCGATTCTTTTGGTAGAGCCCCAGTCGCAGCATTTTGACGAGAAGGCAGGTTTTTGTTTGGTTCCTTTCAAAACAACGCAGGAATACACGTCTCACATGGGCACTTCCGCCCACAGCCCCGGACCGGAAGTGCGTCCGACGCGCCACCACCGCGCCGTGACGTAACAGAGATGAGTTCGAGTATAGAGCCTTCGCAGCACATCATAAAATACTCGCCTTCGAGCACAGCGTACAAGCTTCAATGTTCCTCCTTTTGTGTGTATTGCCGGCCTGGAGTCAATTAGTAATGGCTGCCGGTGGTGCCGCCGACGGGCTCCCGATCCACAATCCAGCCTACCACAAAAAAAAACAAGAAACAAAAAAAAAAAAAACAGTGGTCTTTCTTGGCGTTGTTGCGTGTTTGCCTCGCAATCGTCGCGAGACGGGCTGGCGATGATGTCGACGTCTAGTTGGCGCAGCCTGCGTCCACTAGTGGTGACATCTGGGGTGCCTTGACTTCTAGCTGCTGGAACCCCTTCTGAATCGTTGAACGCGAGAGCGGGCACCGACATCCTTAGCAACGATCTTCCGTGTATGAAGACCCGGTTGATTGGTGTTGATGACAGAGAGGTTAGCCTAGAAGACTGTTTTATCCTGGGTAGCGCCCTTTTGAGAGCGAGAGAGAAGGCGGGAAAGGGCTACTGGCCCTTTCGCCCTTGCTGGTGCGTTGGGAAGAGTGACAGTCCCGGATGAGAGGCTTCGTCGGTGTTGGGTGTATGCATTGCTCAAACTTCGTTCGCGCTTTCTTCTCTGTTTTAAACTTTCCAACTTAATTAGAGCCGTGGGCTTCGATGTCGACAGTCCCCCGGTCATGGGGACGCCATTGCTTGTTATATGGCGCACGAATAACGACGCGTCCAGTACTGTCCGAGGACCTATGTAGCTTGCACGGAATCCGGTAATCGCTTTCCACATGACCCCGATCTCCGGCGGGAGTGGGTTGCGTCCCTAAACCGAAAAGACTTTTCCCCAACGCCATCCTCTCGGCTGTGCTCAAAGCATTTTGTAAATGGAGCGAGCACCGAACGTTGTACCGCCGATGAACCTGAGGTCCGCTCGCAAGGTGCGTGCCAGTTTTCTCGTGACAACTGCTGTTTCAGCTTGGAACTTTTAGAGCGCAGCTCTTCGGCGCCCGTTTCCGGGCTGAGCGGCGTCGCCGTGGGCGTAACCGCGCGCGTTGCATTATGGGACGCCCGGATAAATTCTAGCGGAAATTTTTAGAACAACTAAATTTAGCGGGGAAATTTTCCCGCTAAATTTAGCAGAGAAACTTAAACCGCTAAATTTAGTGAAGAAATTTTCGCTAAATTAGCCAGAAATTGAGCGAAAATTTCCCGCTAAATGGGAGGGCAGGGTACGGAGGGGGAGGAGAGGCATATCCTCCCCTCCATACCCTCCCCTCCTCCTCCTCAAGAGCTGCGCTCTAATTAATTTCGAATTACACAGAATCGCAAATGTCTTTCATTTTTTGTAACTGAATTTATCTTAATATTTATTTCTCGAAGTGGTGACACTGACTCGACTTTATAATCTACAGCGCTTAGCTGAAGGCTCGTTTCCGCCGCCGGATGTGGCTGGAAATTGTCGAAAAGCTATCGGTTTTGCTGAATCGCGATATCCTGCGTGATAAGAGAGAGCCGTGAACCTATGTTGACCGTCACAACGCGACTAGATTTTTCTGATTTTCAAAGTTTGTACATAATGCAGCTGGAAAGAAACCAATGTCTGTTGCTGAAAGTTGAAACATGCTGATGCGTCGATTTCGAATCGTTGAATCATTGCTCGACTCGCTCCGGTAATAGGCCCATCTCGACTTTGCTGTTTTCAGTTCTCGACAAAAGACACACTCGTCGACACGATATCCTCAAATAAAACGTTTATAAACACCTTCAAGCTGGAGTGAGCTGCCTTCGATCGTTCCAAAATAAAACGGTAGACAGTTTTATCGTGGGTAGCGCCATTTTGAATACAGCATAGTGTCCATCTAGCGAGCGTCAGGTTCCGCGGCCTCGCTGAGTGACAACCTTTCTTGGCAATGCAGTGGAAGGTACAGAACCGCGTCCCCTCTCCCATTTTGAGTGTACGCAGGCTCTCCTGCTCCTCCATTTCCGGGGAGAGGAGGAGAGTGTGCTAGTTGGGTGCTCCAAAGTGCTGGGTATCTGACTTGTGTTCTTATGTGCCGCGGATGGCGTGTTTTTTGTT